TTTATATATATATATTTATAGATTATATAGATTAATAAAATAACTTTTTTATATTATATTAATATTATATAATATTAAAAACTATTTCTTAATAATAGCTCTAATTAAAAAATAGCTTATAAATTTAATTTATAGATTTTATTAAAATCGATATAGATATAATATTAATATAGGTATTTTAAATAAGATAACTAAGATATCGAATTATATATATAGAAGAAAGATATTAAATAGTAAATAAATGTCTCTATTAAGACTCGCTAGATCTAAATAAGTAAGAGAGCTAAGTAATATATTAAGAATATAGAATACGCTTATAATAAATCTAAACTTATCTTAATTAATAGAATATAAATATATAATTATTCTATTATAATATACTATTATCGTTACTATTATATATTATTAATATTAATATTACTTTATAATTATTATAATTAAATTATTATAACTATTAAAAATTACGTTAATAAATATAAAATCTTACTTTAACTTTTACTTTTTATTTTTATTATTATTAATAAATACTGTCAAAATATGAGGTAGAACACTTAGTTGTATTGACTATTGAGTTCTATGGAAGGAAAGAGCGACTAGATACGGACACACTAAGGCGTGTCACGTGACCATGTCACGTGATCGCCAAGACGCCAAGAGTCACGTGATCCGAATTCCAACACTCCCCTTCGCACGTATCCTTTCATACGCGAAATCCGGTAGACACGAAGTTCAACGCTGACAGTGTCAAAACCGGGTAGGTAAGGTGAAAAATGACTTAGTCGATTTTCGCCAGAGTTTAGCGCCGGGTGGCTAAAGTGAAGTTCGCGCCGGGTAGCTAAAGTGAAGTCCGAGCCGGGTAGCTAAAGTGAGTTTTAGCGCCGGGTAATTAAGGTGAAGTCCGAGCCGGGTAGCTAAAGTGAGTTTAGCGCCGGGTGGCTAAAGTGAAGTCCGAGCCGGGTAGCTAAAGTGAGTTTAGCGCCGGGTGGCTAAAGTGAAAAGTCGAAATCTGAAAACGACTATGTCAAACCGACATCGCCACCAAATTCCACTTTTTGTCAAAAAACGGTTTTTCGGAAATTTTATTTCCAGGCCATCTGGTGCACACCAAAAATCGATCGATTCGAGGCCGGAGGATATTCGTGGGGGTGACTGAATGAAATGATTGGAAGAAATTCTCCGTCCCACACATTGCGACCGGCTGCAAGGCTCCTGCGGGGGCCGTTCCAGGTATCTAGTCCTTGGCAATAGTGGCTGGTAGTGGTAGTGGCATAGATAAGGGTGTCCCGAAAGAGCCCTGAAGATTTGGTAGCGATAGCGGCAATAGCGCTGAAGAAATAGCTGTTCTGGTATGGAATGGCGAGCCCGCAGAGTATCAAGCCTGAGGCTCGGCGGGCGGCTCGGGTGGATCACCCGAACTGCGGGGACCAATGAAATAGCTCCCCTGGATTCGGAGTCAGCTCCCCTGAATGGACAATGCTATGGACGATGTTCCAGCCCAATTAGCATGCGAAACTTCTCAAACTTGTCCTTGGGCAGTGCCTTGGTGAGTCCATCGGCCACCTGTTGTTCGGTAGGGACATACTCAAGAGCAACGGTACCAGCGGTGACTTGTTCCCGCACATAGTGGTGCTGAATGTCGATATGCTTAGTGCGCGCATGAAATTGAGGATTTTTGGCAAGCGCCATAGCACCCTGATTGTCGCAGTAGACGATAACAGCCTGTGTGCACTTAGCGCTGAGGTTGAGTTGATTAAGGAGTCCACGCAGCCAAACTGCCTCCTTGGTAGCCTGCGTCTGGCCGATGTATTCGGCCTCGCACGAGGATAGCGCCACGGTAGGCTGCCGTTTCGATGACCAACTGATGGCAGCACTGCCTACATCAAAGACGTAACCAGAGGTAGAACGTCGAGTGTCCTGGTCGCCCACCCAGTCCGCGTCTGTGTAGCCAGTGAGTGGTTTCAGGTCTCCCCTGAATACCAACTGCCAGTCCTTGGTACCGTTTAGGTACCAGAAGATGCGCTTGACAGCCTTCCAATGGGATTCATCGGGGTTTAAGACATACCTAGAGACCACTGAGACGGCGAATGCGAGATCGGGTCGAGTGCCCAGCATTGCGTACATAAGTAATCCCACAGCCGACTGATAGGCATGACGAGACTAATCGGTAGGGGTGAAATCATCTTCAGCGGCATGGAACTTATCGCCGTTGATGGGAGTGGGCGATGGCGCAGAGCTTGACATGCCATATTCCTCCAGAAACTTCTCAATGTAGCCTTTTTGGCCAAGGCGCAGGATTCGATTAGCACGGTCTCTGGTGACCGTCATGCCAAGGTAATAGGTGCAAGGTCCCAAATCAGTCATCTCGAACTTCTCATTGAGCTTGTTCTTGATGCCCTATATTTCGGTTTTGTCGAGACCCGCGAGTAGGATGTCGTCCACGTAAATAGCGATAATGGTGGTACCATTAGTGAACACAGAGAGGTCGGCAGCAATGGGTTCAAAACCCAGTTCCTTCAGGTAGGTTGCAAGGGTGTTGTACCAAACCCTAGGGGATTGCTTTAGGCCGTAAAGTGCCTTGACAAGCTTATACACCTTATTCTTTTGGCCTTTGGCCTTAAAGCCAGTGGGCTGAGTGACGTAAATTGTCTCCTTAATATCGCCGTACAGAAAGGCGGTTTTAACGTCCATCTGCTCAAGCTCCTAGTCCAAGGCAGTTGCCAGCGTAAAGATCGCTTTGTAGCTTATGGGCTTAACGACAGAGGCGAAGGTTTCGTTGAAGTCGATCCCTTCTCGTTGTTTAAAGCCGCGAACAACCCAGCGAGCTTTATGTCGTATAATCTCCTCTGCGGGACCACGCTTAAGCTTGTAGACCCATCGGCCTCTTAAGGCGTGCGCATTTGATGGGAGATCCACCAGAGTCCAAGTCCTATTGGTGGTGAGCGAGTCGACTTCTTCCCCCATGGCAATTTCCCAATGCATCTTGCGGTAAGAGTCCGACATGGCCTCCTTGTAGGTTCGAGGTTCGTAGGGTTCGGAAGGGGAGGCTTTTGCCAACAGCGCTAGGGGATCTGGAGAGAGTTCCCTGTGTGCCCTTAAGGTATCGGATGGGCGACTCGTCGCTGGGATCGGGTTGCGACCGCTTATGGAGCGAGTGATGGGCCTGGAATGCGCCGTCGTAGGGGCTGCAGAGAGAGTTTCATCACTGAGTGTATCAGGTGATTGCTCTTCTGAAGGCTCCGAGTCAGCTGGGGCTGCTGGCCGAGCCCTTTTGAGGACTCGAATGGAATTGAGCAAGTCATTGGCTTCATCTTCAACGGAAGTTGCTTGCCTCTTTTGGCGATTCTCCCCTGGAACTGCAGGTGAAGAGGGAAGGTGACCCTCGGGATGATCAATGGTTTCGGCAAGCCGGCGACCGTTACGGTAGGCTGCCGTTTTGACGTTATCGCGCGCATCCTCCCCTAAAACAAAGGGTGTGGGCTTAAGAGGGACGTTATCGAACCACTTGACATTGGAGACGATAGCGATCTCGCCGCTGCTTAAGAGCATGCGATAGAAATGACCTTGATAGCCCATGAGTTGTCCCTTGACCGCATGGTCTTGGTACTTCTTCCAGCCAGTGGCTTTGAGCACAGTCTGGCAGAAGCCTGTTTGCCCAACGATGCGTAGGTAAGAAACGTCGGGAGGGGAACCGGTGCAAGCCTCGAAAGGAGTGACATCTCGCCCGGTCACGGGTTGGCGATTGCGCAAATGGTTCCCAGTACGGACGAATTCGGTCCAGTACTTCTGCGGCAGGCCGCTCTCCTTGAGCATCGCGCTGGCTTTGCGCTGAATGGTAGCGCCCAATCGTTCAGACTTCCCATTCATTTGGGGGTTCCCCGGCACAATGCCTTCCCAGACGATTCCCCTGGATAGACGAAAGGCTTCCATTTTGTAGTTCTGATATTCCGTGCCGCAATCAGAGCGAAGGCGAGTACAACGGCAATCGCCGTGTTCCACATCACCGAGGAATAGCTTGAATACGGCAAGAACGAACTCGCCAGACTTATCCGGTAGGAGGTAGACGTCGGAGCGCAGAGTGAAATCATCCAGAAAGGTGATCATGAACGTGTAGCCGTCATGGGAAGCGTCAAACGGTCCCTGGAGATCGGTGTGAATCAAGTCATTCTCCTATCTCCCGGGGACAATATGGCGTTTATGGGGCTTTACCTTGAGGCTGGCTACGGAGCATGGCTCGCAAGCATCGCCGGGAGGAGGTTTAGAAAGATCCATTCCGGTGCACATTTTGGCCATCTTCTTAACGTTCTGAGTGCCTAAATGACCCATGCGGGCATGCCACATGCGCAGAGTATCCTCATCAATTCGAGACTCTTGCTCATTAGAGGGCTCTACAGACTTAGTGGGGGACTCATCATAAGCGGGAATTTCTCCATTGATGACGGCTAAGGCTAGGGGGTATCCCCCTAAGTATCGAGCGCATAGAGGCGGCTCTAGGTACGTTTGAAGAAAAACTGCTGTTTTCCCACGAAAAGACCGCCGGGAACAAAAGAAAGCGAGTACCGTTGCTCCTCCAATTATCCCTCGAAAATCAGGTTAAAGCCACACCCTGGTACATACCAGATATTATTAAGAGTCCAAGTACGCTTAGCACCCTTCACCTTACATTCAAGGTTAATACTACCAAAGCCGATAGCCATATAGCTACCGCCGGCGAGTCCACCAACAGGGCGAGGTTCCTGGAACCTAGAGAAGGTCTTAAAGATCGAGAAATTGTGTATAATGTGCTGAGTGCATGCGCAATCACGGAGCCAGAGAGAGGACATTACCGCTGCAGTGGAAAGTGCAGTGGTAGAGGCTCTATCCAAGGGTTTAGCCTTGGAAGGTTTATAGACCTTATCGCTCAGCGCTTGGGAGTTGGCGATGAGCGCGGTAGCGGTATAAGCGACGAAGCAGCGCGCTACCATAGGCTGGGTAATTACAACGGCTGCCCCAGCACTGGGAGGTTAATCCTTCTCCTCCTTAGGCTTCTCGGGCTTGGATTCGGTATTGATATTACCGCCTCCTCGACCGCCCTTTCCACCCCGACCGCCACGGCCACCGCGGCCTCTATTCCCAGAGGCTTGAGATTCTTCGCGGGCGCGCTTACGCTTCAGCCATTCGGGGTGCTCCTTGGTGGAGTGAAAGTCCTTGTTGCAAATGATGCAGAACTTGCAGGTCTGTGTCCAGGTGCGAGAGTTGGTAGAATTGGCACCATCTTGAATGCGATACTCAACTGATATAGGCGCCGCAGAAACAAGGGCATAAACACCCATTTCGGTGTAGGTAGCCATCGCATGAGTGTTAAAGGACTCAGCGGAGGCAGTAGAATCAGAGACGGTATTGAGCCACCGTGTTCTAGCGTAGGCCAGCGTGAATTTGAAAGACCCGTCTTCATTGCAAGGGTCGTGATTCTAATTGTAGATCTCACGGTACTAAGTGTACTGGCCACCTAAGCCCTTGTGGAAGTAATAAATCTTTCAATTCTCGTCGGTGATAAAGGGAAATTTCCCGGGTAGGCTGTTAATCTCACGCAATAGACTAATAAACTAGTTAACGTAGGCCTATAGCTTATTTTCGCAGGCAGTAAGGGTAAGAGACTCCAGCCTCTAAATGGTGGAGCTGAGGATGCCTGATCCGCGGGGCTTATATTCTTTTAAGTCCTTTCAGGCGACTACAGCGTTGGTGCAGCTCTCAATAAGATCGCGCGGGTTATCCTCGCAGCGAGTCTTCATCATAGTATAAAGTTTATAATACGCTCTGGTTTATATTACGACATCTACGTCGATAATAATCTTAAGGGCATCTCTTATAGATCGCTATTCGATTACGGCCCTTACGGTAACCGCTAGGCGAGAGATTGATTAAATTGTATCGGTTTTAATATAATACCAGAGGTCTAGTAGAACGAAGAAATCTTATATATCCCGCTTTTATTTGTAGTAATTAAAAGCGCCCTCAAGTATAGGAATTTGATGGAGTTGACTTAAATTGGCCGAAAGCTTAATATCGATGTATTTAGACATGATACTATTTATAAAGGATTAGCCTAATTTTTAGGGCTTAATGAGATAAAGCTTTTATAAGAGCTTAAATTTAAGGATGAGGTCTGCGATATAGTAGGGCTTAATGAAGTGAATAGAGTAGACGGCGTCGGTGAAACTAGCTTTACTATAAACCCGAAGAGCTCTTCGTCTGAGATTAGCTTTAGTAGTAATTCGGGGGTAGATTAACCCGATATAACAACAGAATCAATATAAGGAATTGGAGTATACTCGCTATCGGTGCTGTTCGTATCCGGAATACTTATAATTATTTAAAGCGTGTAGAGGAAGTCCCGCTAAGCTCTAAAGTTAGCTCGATATAACTTGAAGCGTTACTTAAAGAAGGATCTTACGTCACAATCTATAACGTAGTTAATAATACTCTGAAAAGATGGGCTTTAACTTGTAGGTGCTGGGGGAAATGTGGTATAAGTATGCGATTACTTAATGGAAGATCGCCTCTCTTTATACTTAAGGGGGAGTTTAATTAAATTCCATTTCTTACATTATCGTCGCGATTGTCTTAATCGCCCTCTATCGTATTTACAATGTGATGCCACCTATTGGTTGGCTCTTCTGTCGAAGAAATTAGTTAAGATTGAGTGCGAGATTGCTCGCAATTTCGCTTCGCTCGCTTATTAGATCCAATTAAAGCTTCTTCGCGAGACCGCCTTATTTTTACGGGTATAGAGGGTGATTACCCTTCGGTCGCTGCGTTAAGGAGTGATTCCCCTTTACGTATTGATATACTTGGTACGCGAGGTATGGGTTGTTTTCCCTTTTGGCGTTGCGCCGTTGCCTCAGGCTGGGTTTCAGCCCCCATTATGGAAATTGTATAACGGGATGTTAGAGTCTAACCGCTTGTCATCAGTTTTTGATGTAGCGAAGTATAAGAATAAGGATATGTCGTCTCTCATCTTTAGCGTGTCCTACTCAACGCAGGGAAATTAATAATGTTCTAGCGGTTATAGCGGCTATGCGACGAAAAGGTATAGGCGTATAATGCCCTATTGCGGCGTATAATGGCTTCGGCATTATACGGTTAAGTGCGGTATACTTCGGCTCGCCCGAAATTACCTTGTATTAGGGGCGGCACGAGAGTCTGTGCGCTAAATTGTTGGTGTAATATGTTGGCATGTTGGTAATTTCGGCATAGCCCCCCTTGCTCGCGACCCTTGCCCTTTTTATTGGAAGCGCATTCGGCGTATGCCGTTTGGCCAGAATGACTATCTTGAAGTGGGAAATGCCCATATCACGAAGGTTGATGAAAGAGGTCCTTCGCGGTTGTAACTGCTGTTATTCAATGAATATTGATGCGATGGATACGCTGGAAGTAGCCGTAGCTACGGTAGGTAGTAGATAGGTCATAAAATAACTGAAATAGTTGCCGGGCAGAGCCCGGGCTCATAACCTGTCAAAATATGAGGTAGAACACTTAGTTGTATTGACTATTGAGTTCTATGGAAGGAAAGAGCGACTAGATACGGACACACTAAGGCGTGTCACGTGACCATGTCACGTGATCGCCAAGACGCCAAGAGTCACGTGATCCGAATTCCAACAAATACTAAGTCTTTCTTTATATCTATTATTTTATCTTTAATCTTTTCTATTATAATATTATAATAGCGAGTTATATTAATATATATAATATAATAAAATAAAGCTAAGCTTAAAAATCTTAAATTTATATATATAATTAATTATAAATTTAAAGTTACTACGCTCTTTAATTAAATTAATAAAATTATTATAAATAAATATTTAATATTCGTAATTATTAAATATTCGTAATTATTAAATATTCGTAATTATTAAGAAAATATATATACGTTATTAATATATAAAATAGCTTTTTTATTTTCTATTAATATTTTAAGATTTTTTTTTAAAATTATAGAATAAAGATTACGCTTTTTAATAATATAAAAATTTTAAATTTTAAAATTTAATCTTATTATTATTAAAGTATAAGAATCTTAAATATTATTTATTAAATTCTACTTATTAAAGTTCGCTTAATAGCTCTAATTAAAAAATAAATATATATTATTTAATTTTGAAATAACATTTCTATTTTTTTATTAAACTTTTAAGATTTTTTATTTATATAATAGAATATAATATAAGCTTTTAAATAATAAAGAATTATTAAATTTAACTTTATAGATATTTAAAGATAAGAGATTTAAATATTATCTATTAAAAGTTCGCTTATTAAATTTACTTTATAGCTTTAATTAAAAAAAAGATTATAAATTTAATTTATAATCTATCTTTTTATTTAATTAAAACTATTTATAAATTTAATAATCGAGCTTTAATAAGCGATATTTAAATTCTCTATCTTTAAATAATTATAAGACTAAGTTTTAGAATCTCTAAAATATTAAAATATCTAAATTACGATTTAAATTTTAAAAAGAAATTAAAGAATTTTAATAGAGAATAAAAAAGATGTTTTAAAATTAAATAATATATATTTATTATTTAATTAGAGCTATCGAGTAAACTTTAATAAATAATATTTAAATTTCTTACGCTTTAATAATTATAAGATTAAATTTAAAAAGATTCTAATTATTAAATAGGGTAAGTTTCGACCTATAGTTTAAAAAAAAAGATTTAAAATTTTAATAGAAAATAGTAAATTTATTAAAGAATTAAAAGTAGAGAAAGAGATTTTTAATAATTATAAACGCTAATTTATTTATTTATAATATCTAATTAAAAAGCGTAAATCTAATATATTTATAATTAGTTATATATATAAATTTAAAAATTTCTAACTTAGCTTTATTTTATTCTATTATATATATTAATAATATATTTAAATTATTAAATAACTCTTTTAAAAAGATTTTATATAAATTTTTATTTATTTAAATATAATATTATTATTTACTTATAAAATATTAATATATATAAAAAATAAGATAAAGTTAATTTAAAAAAACTTAAATTTATATATATATATAATTAGTTATAAATTTAAATTTATTTAACTTTTTAATTAGATTAATTAAATTAACTCGATAATTATTTTATATTTTCTTATTAAAAAAATAGATATATATTATTTATATATAAAATAATCTTTTTATATTCTATGTAAATTTTATTATAACGCGAAGAATACGCTTTTTAATAATATAAATTCTTTAAAATTTAATCTTATAATTATTAAAGAATAAGAATCTTAAATATTATTTATTAAAGTACGCTTATTAAATTTATTAATAAGTTTAATTAAAAAATAAATATATATTATTTAATTTTAGAAAAACTTTTTTATATTTTATTAAAAAAAATTAATTATTTTTTAATTATAAAATATAAATTATACTTTTAAATAAATAAAACTTATTAAATTTAATCGATAACTCTAATTAAAAAAAAGATTATAAATTTAATTTAGAAGTATATATTTATTATATTAGATAATTTTATTAAAATTATTTTTATTATTTTTAAATAAAATCTAATATAAATATATAATAAATATTTATTTTTAATTACTTTTAAATTATTATATTAGTTAATAATATAAATAATTTTATATTTATTATTTTAATATCTATTTATTTTTCATTATTTAAAAAGAAAATTTAATAAATTTAAAATTTCTTTATATTAGTAAATATTAAATTTAATATTATAAATTTAAGAGAAATTAAAAATAAGATTATACTCTTATATATTTATAATATATATCTTTAAAATCTATATTTACTTTCTTTCTTAATTATTTATAAAATTAAAAATTAAAATTTTTTTTTAAAAGAAATATTTAATAATTATAAATATTTATTTAAACTCTAAAATCTATATCTTTTTAATAAAAGATTATAATATAAAACTTTATTATTATTAATAATTATTACAATAATTATTTTTTATTTTTGATTAATATATATAAAAGAATAATTTTTTTTTTTAAATTTATATATATAACAAGTAAAGGCCTATGAATTAAATTTATAAAGTTGAATTTTTCTAAGTCAAATCGAACTCTGATCGCTTACTATGCGTTTTTAATCTATATATAGATATATATGTACGGAGAGAGGCGCGCTAAGGCCTAATTAGGAAGGTATATCGAGTATAAAGAATTAATTCGTAATAATTGCCTATAAAAAATAGAGAAAGGCTATGTCCTTATGGTAAGAAGTATTAAAATATCGGAAAGAAATGGAGATAACATATCAATTAGTGGTGTGAATCCCACATTATCTTCTACCGTAGTGAAA